TTTTTTTCCACTTCTTACTAGACACAAGTGAAGTGAGAGTATATTACTCTCAAGTCCTCCAACTCTCGTATCCATGCTCGAGCTCACCGATGAGAAAACCGCGACAGTAATCGAAGACCGCACTCCCGCGACGACCATTTGTTCACTGGCCAAGCATATGCGATTCTACTAGCAAGTCAACAAAAATATTGTCGGCCTGCTTAGTCCAACGAGCATCGTAATGGCATTCGTCTTGCGTTATAGGGGTAGAAAAGCGAGACATTGTGTTTGAAATGCACCGAAAATGAAAAAGTGAAGACACATGAAGTGTAGGGCACATGTTTTAGTCAATAATGGCTATAATGTGTAAAAGATTTTTCAAATCATTTTTCAGTTTGTCTTTTAGCACCAATTTCACTCATGTACTGGGTGATTGATTGGCAATAAAGAGAAAGTGAATGAAAAAGTGTCACGGGGCTACAGAGGTGAGTATTTTCTTTCTACTTCTGCATGATGAATGGTTTGAAAAAAATATTGCAAACTGAGTTCATAAATTCGAAATGTAAAAAACGAAATTGCATACTTCTAAAATAGACTGCATTTAGGAATGTTCGTTTACAGTCGAAACAAAAAAATTCATCCGCAAAATAGCATGCATGACAAAAGAAAAACAAAAAAAAAAAGTAAATAAGTAAAACACCACTTACGTCTATATATATATATATATATATATATATATGTTTTGTTTGTTTTCCTATATCCAAATTAGGATAAAAAGCACATTTACATATTTGTCCCCTCCATTCTCTTTGCATGGCTATCATATATCCTAATTTGGATCTAGGAAAACAAACAAAAAACAAATTATAAAGTATAATCTCAAGTTGCATGAATCTAGTAAAACAAACACAAGATGGTTTATATCTATACACCCCAACCTTGTCCAAAGATTAAAAATTATCTAATCATGTCTTGGCAAACAAACATACTCTTAGTAGATTGTTATATTATGCACCAGTATGCAACGATAACGAGATATTGACAAGTGACTAAGACATATTTTAATGTATCCGTGACGGATAGCAGCGGCGAATACAGAAATTTTTATCAGCCAGGGCAATATGAAAAAAATACTCAAAATTATTTAAGTCTTGTTAATTACATACGAATTTACTTTCTGCAATAAATTTTCTCATTCACATTCTTCTTCTCTCATTTTTTGGAGTTATTTCGGTCGTGCTTGTTTATCAAATTCTAGACAAAAAATCTATCTCAATTCAAAATCAAACTTGATTTAACCCAATCCCCAATATCCTCCATATTATTAATTATTCAACTATTTTTACACATTACATCAGCTTTAATTCACTATTCATCAACTCACATAATTTAAGGGTAAATTGCGCCAAACCCCCCTGTGTTATAAGAAATAGGCGCGTTACTACCCTGTGTTTTAAAAAATGCATGACACCCCCTTGTATTTAAGTAGTTGTTGCACACACTCTCCGTTTTTATTTGTCCAGTTAACGGTGTTAATTTTTTGCTAAAACCCCCGTTATACCCTTTGAATTTTTTATATATATTTGTGATAATTTCAATTTATCGCGATATTTTGCAAATATCACGATAAATTGGCTAAAAATGTTATGCAGGCAATGGGGTTCGAACCCAAGACCTACTGAGAAGAAAGAAGCAATACTACCACCCCACCAATCCAACTTGTGTGTTAGATTTAATAACGTTAAATATATATACACGTTACACATGTACAAATCAAATTAAAATTTTAAAGATAATATAAATTATATTAAAATACATTAATAAAATATAAGCTTATAAATACTTACAATTAAAATAATAATATTTATTGTCTTTAAGTTAAGGTATTTTCGTCTACTTTTATTTTTTATAATTTAAAATTTTACTATTTTATATTATTTTATGTTATTTAACAAACTTTATTTATTTTTTTAACTTACGAAATGTTATAAAATTCAAATAAATTTTACTAAATAAAATTTAGAAATTAAAATTATTTATTTCTAATTAAAACTATTTACTAAAAAGTGATAATTTATTTCTATATTTATTGATATTATATGTAAGAGTAAATTATTTTAATTTTATTATATTAATTTAATATTATTACTTGACTTTATTTATTATTTTGTAATATTATATTTTACTAATTATTTTATTTATTTTACTTTGCCATTTTTTATATATTACATTTTTTTATCTTATATTAATTTTTTATTATATTTTAACTAGTCTACTATAATTTTATTTTTTTTTTAATTTAGTATTTTTATTATTATGCATTTGAAAATTTATATAATTAATTTTATATTTATAAATAAAAATCATACATTTATTTAATTTTAATTCATGATACTATAACTAATATTATTTTACTTTAATTTAATTTATTTTTCATTATTTTTATTATAATTTCATTTATTCAAGTTATTATTATTATTTATTATTATTAATTCTATTTAATATATATTAAATTTATCCATTATATTATTTTTAGTTTATTTACTTGAAATTATTTTTTTTTAATTTATTATTATTATTATTATTATACATTTACAAATTTATACAATTAATTTTATTTTTATAAATTAAATTATAAATTTATTTAATTTTAATTCATGCTACTACAATTAATTTTATTTTTCTTTACTTTAATGTATTTTTCATTATTTTTATTATAATTTAATTTATTTCAAGTTATTATTCTTGTTATTGTTATTATTATTTCTACTTAATATATATTAAATTTACCCATTATATTATTTTTGATTTATTTATTTTTAAATTTAATTTTAATATTATTGTTCATTTCCAAATTTATATAATTAATTATATTTTAATAAATAAAAATATAATTTATTTAATTTTAATTTATGCTACTATATTAAGTTTTATCTTACTTTATTTTTTCACTATTTTTATTTTAGTTTAATGTATTGCAAGTTGTTATTATTATTATTATTATTATTATTATCATTATTATTATTATTATTATTATTATTATTATTATTATTATTATTATTATTATTATTATTATTAATGTATATTAAAGTAACTTGTTATGTTTTTATTTTATTTTAGTTTATTAATTTGTTTGAAGTATTATAAAAGTATTTGTGTTCATTCCATACACAAGGATGCATCTAGCCTAGTGCTTTAGTGGGCGAGCTTCTTTCCTAGGGGACTTGGGTTCGAATACTCCCCTTTTCTAAGTTTTAATTTTCTCAATAAAACTCAGAAGGGCAAAAAGGTAAATTAATAATTATGTAAAATTAAAAAT